ACACACACACACACACACCCACACACACACACACACACACACAAACTCACACACACACACACACACACACTCATACACACACACACACACACTCATACATACACACACATACACACTTACAGCTGTTAGCAGAAAATACAGCCACAAATCCTTGTGCAAAAAAATAAAAATAATTCTGACCACTTCTTACACTTACAAAGTCAAAATCTACCCATGTTAGAGAAGTGTCAACTTTTTTTTAAACATGTTTTAAAACAAAGCCCAAGATCTGCACAGAATCATAAGAGATAAAAACAAAACAAATAAATTATAAATTACAAAAAAACCCAACATAATCGTACAGAAGAAAATGAATGGCACTTCATAGCTTGTGTTTTCTGAAATATGTTTAAATGAGCTCTCAGTAATATTTTTACACACTCATTTTTCCCTCTGTATAAATGACTGCACAACAGCAGATATGCTGAGAAATTTCTCAGTGTTTTTGTCCATCCATTGAAAGTCAACAGACTTCAATATCCTTTAAACTGCAAAATATCTACTTTTGTGCTCTAGAACGAGCATTTTTGTTGAACTATCGCTTTAATATAGTCAAACTTGAATATTAAATATATACAGCATTTGTTTAATAAATTCTGTAACAGAAATGAACATGAAGCATGTTTAAATGCATTAAGAGTATCGTTCAGTGTTCATGGTGATAATTACGTTACTGATGTTATACAGTCCTGAGGCTGCAATAGTTTAATTAGGAGTATCCTGTGGGTTGATAAGCACCACTGAAGCAGAGGTTCATCTTCACGCCTCACTGTGACCTACAGACTGTGACTGGACCCTGAATGTCTTTATTTGTGCCTCACACACACACACACACCCTCATCACCCATATCAGTGCGCTGTATCTGACGCTAATCACGCTGCCAGCATAACGAGGCTCTATCCACACTGCAAAACAGGACGACGCACTGGAATGCGCTGGACGAGACACCAAAACAAGCGTTAATCAAGCCCTCATATCAGCAGTGAAATCCCCTGCTCTTTGTTTGGTCTGACTCTGAAACAGCAGCAGCTCTATTTAACACGCTGCGGTCTGAAGGCCGTGACGCAGCTAATAGAGCAGAGAGAGCACTGAACGTCTGAAGAAACACGTCAACAAACATCTGAGTCTTGAGGCCCAGTCAAGCATTCAGAGCACTTTCTCATGAGGAACGCTGTTTCATGGGAACGGGAGGACGGCTGTACTTATGCACTGTGTTTAGGCAAGATGTATAGACCTGCATACTGCCAGTTTTATGAACAGGACTAATGGACAGTGACTGCAAACCACAGGATTAGGACGTGAACATGCAAATTCTGCCATCATTTACTTACCTTCATTTCCATCCATGTCTACATGAATCAGATAATGAGGATCGCTCCTCCATACAGTGAACAGAGCATCATAAGTCGCCCAAGAATGTTTATTCAAGTGATCTGAAGATGTATATGTGAAGATTAGACATAAACATGGTCGCAGAAGTGGGGGGGGGGCTGCCTGAGCCCGGGTTACTTTTGAGGTCTGGTACAAATATGACAAATGGCTACAAAAATACATAGGCTATAGGCTCATATGTGTGCACGAGAAATCATTCAAAAATCGCAATCTCGATTCAAACACACGCAATTCCTAAATAATGATTCTGCTATGTCAATTAATTATTACGCTTACATAATAAATAATTATGCTGATCCAGAGAGCGCAGCGCTCATCATGTAAGCTTTATGTTTGAAACAGTCTACAGTAAGCTACATTTCTGTATTGCAAACATTAAATAATAACGAAAGTATTGGGATACAATTTTATAGTCCGGATATAAACTCTGACGTTGCGGCAGCTGCGATCAAAATGAGTCATTTTGACCTTTGGAACTAATGTTACACTTCAAATATTATGTTACATTATGCCATTAAGTGGCGACCGTTAAAATGTATTTGATGTCTGAATCATTCATTCAACAAGTCTTCAGTCGTTTATGTCAAATGATTTTTTTCATTTAAATTAACATTTTAGACATTTATAAATAGACGCATTTATAACATCAAATCAAACATTTAATCAGAAACTCAAGTAAATTAGCCTACATATTATTTTGTTTGGTTGCCTAATGTTTTGTTTTCATAACCTTCTGTGAGTTCGTTCCTCGATCCATGGACCTAAATATCTTAGATTTGATCTGATAATCTTCACTTCCAGCATGACTGTTCTTCCTACAGCACCCTTCCAGTCATAAAAGATCCTTTTGCACTGAAAACCTGCTTTTATTCCAAAATCATTTCATTTGGTTATTGGATCATGGAGGATGATGAGCAGCATGTATCATAAAACTGACTGTGAGCGACACACACTCAGTTTCATCAGACTCAAATACTATATCAGCACTGGCCAACTGTGAACTAACCTCTGTAGATACAGAATAGAATAGAATAGAATGTTCTGTCTGACATCATGTGTGTGTGTGTTTGAGGAGCTCAGTGAGATGTGAGTGTGATGCTGTGCCGGTGTGTTGCAGGTGCGTGTGGGTCATTTCCAGAAGGTGATAGCGATGGTGCAGATGGGTGGAGGCAGTGAGCTGGCCATCATCGTCTCCATCGTGGTGTGCTGTGTGCTGCTGCTGCTGTGCACTGTGGGTATGTCTCGCTTCATACATCACTCATCAGACGCTCAGGTGATCTGTGGATCAGCTCATCTGCTGGAGATCACATCATCTGAGAGAGAGCGTTTCAGATCAGCGCCTCACTCTGATGCTTATGATTTGTCCTGGGTTTTAATGCAAAAGAGAAGCATTTCCACTACTGATCTCTTGGACTGTTTGGAAGCTGTTGTGTGTGTGTGTGTGTGTGTGTGTGAGTGTGTGTGTGTTTCCAACATGAATAACATCTGTGTGTGTGTGTGTGTGTGTGTGTGTGTGTGTTCAGCGCTGGTGGTTTACTGCACTAAGAGCCGCAGGGCAGAGAGGTATTGGCAGAAGACTCTGTTACAGATTGCGCCAAGAGACGCAGGGCAGAGAGGTATTGGCAGAAGACTCTGTTACAGATGGAGGAGATGGAGTCCCAGATCCGTGATGAGATACGCAAAGGTAACACACACACACACACACACGCGCACAGACTCTCTCACACACACACACACACACACACACACACAGGTTTACATTTGTGAAAAGTGGGGGCATCCCATAGGCGTAATGGTTTTTATACTGGTCAGACCGTATATTCTATTGCCCTACACCAACCCTACCCCTAAACCTACCCCTCACAGGAGACTTTCTGCTATTTCAGATTTTCAATACCCTCCATTCTGTGTGATTTATAAGCGTTTTGAAAAGTGGGGACATGGGGTAATGTCCTGAAAAGTCACCTTCTCCTTGTAATACCTATGTTATACCTTTGTCATTATACAAATTTATGTCCTCATTTGTAATAAAAACGCATACACACTCTCACACACCCACACACATACACACACACGCACGCACGCACACACACACACACACACACACTCTCACACACGCACGCACGCGCACACACACACACACACGCACGCGCACACACACACACTCTCTCACACACACGCACGCACGCACACGCACACACGTGTGTGTTTATGTTCATGCGTGAGTCTGACAGCAGGAAATTATCACACACTCAGAGTCTGTCATAAATCAGTGTTATTACACTCAGTTGTGTAGACAAGATCTGGATGCTGCTCCACATGGCTTTCTTTCTTCTAGTTAACACAAAAATCAATATAAAATGAATAGTCTATGCTGCAGAGTAGCTTTTATTCAGAGTGGCTTTACATTGGATAAACATTTTATAGATATTTTTTGGGAATGAAACCATTGGAACACACACAAATAACAGACTCAAACTGCAGGCATGACTGACCTGTCCTCCACAGCGGCTCATTCATGCTCACAAATATTCAGAGCCGGCATGATCAGCCACATGACACTCAATTCTTAAGACCTGTATGTTGTTGTTTTTTTGCCCTTTATGGAGTTTCACGTTTATGTTTATGTTCTGAGGAAAGACAATCATACAGGTTTGGTGTGACGTGAGTAACTGATGGCAGAGTTTGCCGCTTTATATGAACTGTTTGTTTATTTCTGGATATTGTGCTGTCTGAAGACATTAATCAGAACATCTGTTTGTACAGTAATGAAGTGTGACCATGTGAATCTGCGGTGAGCAGCATGTCCAGTTAAAGCAGTAAACACACATGGGTTTGGGTTGAAGTGTGTGATTGTTCTGGTAGTTGGGGGTGTTTGAAAGTGACTCAGAGGAGCTCAGCTTTCTGGATTGCAACATCTCACCATCACCAGCTCTCTCTCACTGCTTCTCTTTTCCTCCTGTTTTATCCTTGGTTTCCTTGGTAATTGAATCCCTGAATATACACAAACATCCTGTGTTGAAACAATAAGAGGATGTCTCACTTCCTGTTATCCCAGCAGGACTTTCCCTACAGCACTGATGTGATATCAGCTCCACTCGTGTCCTAAAGACTGGAGACAAATGAGCCGCACTGCTCTCAGATCAGTGGAAAACTGAAGACACACACACGCACACTCATACACACACACACACACACACACACTCACACTCATACACACACACACACACATACACATACTCAAACACACACACACACACACACACACACACACACACACACACACACCCACACACACACACACACACACACACAGCGCTAGTTCCAGAATCAGCTTGTGACTTTTCACCACAAACCACTGCTTCACATAGACTGTAGTGTGTGTGTGTTTGTGTGTGTGTGTGTTCTGGTATATATGGTTTATGTTATACAAATGTGCGTAATGGCATGGTTATTACAACATAAACATGGTTTATGAGGTTTACACTTCCTGTGTCCCTGTAAACCAAAAAGCTTTTTTTTAAAAACTACTAAACTGTGTTTTATACAAATGCCTGTAGTTGTGTGTGAGGGGAGGTTTAGGTGTAGGGTTAGGGTAAGAGGATAGAAAATACAGTTTGTGTGTGTGTGTGTGTGTGTGTGTGTGTGTGTGTTTGTCCAAAGCCATTTAAAAACCAGCTGCTTCATATTAACACTGTAAATCGTGATATTGTCACAGTGAATGAGAGTTTGAGCTGAAACTCATAAACAGTGTGAGAATGCCCGTATCCTCATTCAGATGGCAAAGTAAACATGTTTGTATCTCAACGGGTTTTTGTGTTGGGGCTGATGTTAGTGATCTGGTCAGCTGTGTGATGGCAGCCGTGTGTTTGTGTGTGGCAGGTTTTGCGGAGCTGCAGACTGATATGACGGATCTGACTAAAGAGCTGAGCCGCACACAGGGAATCCCCTTCCTGGAGTACAAGCAGTTCGTCACACGCACCTTCTTCCCCAAGGTCTGGTCACCGCACACATGTGCCATTACAACTGTACACCAGGGCAAATAAACCTGCAGCAGGTCAAGCCATGAAGTAAAGCTAAATGATGGAAAACGTGAGATTCTCTCAGGAAACACTGAACTTAGTCACATTATTAGATAGAATTCACTGAGCTTAAACAGACGCTCAGTGATGTTTGATCTTGAGAGTCGATGTGTGCTGTTAATGTGAACTGTAAGCAGTAAAAAAGCCCTACAAATATATGTTTGGCCACTTAAGTCACATTTAAATGAGTGCTGTCAAAACGATTAATCGTGATTAATCACATCCAAAATAAAAGTTTTGTGTGTGTACTGTGTATATTTATCATGTATATATAAATACACACATATACAGTATATATTTTGAAAATATTTACATGAATATATTTATATTCATATAATTTATATTATATATACATAACATATTTTTCTTAAATATATATATGCATGTGTGTGTATTTATACATATAGATAATAAATATACACAGTACACACATATATTATGTAAACCAAAACATTTATTTTGGTTGCGATTAATCACGATTAATCGTTTGACAGCACTCATTTAAATGTATAAATGCCTTACATTATATATCAAACCAAGTGATGTTTATTTTAAAGAAAGGAGCACAAGCACTCTTTTTCAAGCAAAACATCAGAGGATTAGTATAATTATTATGCATCGGATATAACGGCATAGATATTGTTACACTTTCCATCCGATGCTGGTGGATGATGTTGATAGTTCATGTGATTCTCTACATTGACTTCATACATCCACTGAAATCCTTCAGTCATGCTAAATATCACTGTCAGAGCAACTGGTGAAAAGTCCTTGCCAAAAATGCTTGGAAGGCCTACAGCAGTGAGGAAACCTCTAGCCACATTTCTTTAAACAGCACACTTGGTTTGATATTTCTCCAGACAGGAAGCTCAGACTGTGCTTTAAGTGTCCAGAAGTGGCCATTTTCGTATTGAAGACACTGGATTTGAGGATTTGCTGTAGAAATGATTTGTAGTTTACTAAAGAGTTAAAGTCTCCAGCCAGGCCAGATGTAGGACTCTCCTCGTCCCCTATTTTTGTTCTCCAGTAAAAACCGCAAATGTTGCAATTTTCCAGTCTTAGTGTCTGCACAATACTGGGCACAGAGACAAGAAACTCCTGAATACTCCCTCCAGCGCACTGACACAATAGACTGCATTTAGGGGAATTCTGTGTGTGTTTGCTGCTAATAGACTTTTACTGTGAGCTCAAACTCACTGCAGTCCTGCTCTTGCTCTGCCTGACAGGGGATGGGAATCATAAGAAGCTCAGGACCTTTACAGCTCCATTAATGTGGAGAACGCAGCTATTTTAGAGCGGTTAAGGAAAGTGAAGATGTGAACGAATGCTCCAGCGTTGACTGTGTGTGTGTGTTTGTGTAGATGTGCTCTGACTATGAGAGGCGTCTGGTTCAGCCCATGTATGAGAACGATCCTCTCGGCCCGCGAGCTCTGTCTGAGACGCATCCTCTGCTCCAGGACTGGCAGGTGAGACATGCTACGATCGATGTCCAGAAACCTCCCTGAGCGCTCTCCTGTTTGCTCATTATACCACGGCTCATGTAAGTCGTGTGTGTTAGCAATAATGCACAGATTCAGCAGAGTCATCTCTAACAAGAACTCTGTGTTTTTGCGCAATACGCCGTCTTCTGAGGAAGCTCTTGTTTCCTGTCAGCAGCCTTTCTTTCTTTTTTTTTATTTTAGCTGAGATTATTTTAGTGGGTCGCTATGAGTTTCATAATGTTTGAAGAATTGTTTCACAGTTGGAAAATTATTATGTGCAATTGTGAAACTGCAGTATTGTACATCGGGGTGTTTTGTAAGATGAAGAATTGATTTGTCAAAAATCACTATTGCAGAATTGCATGAACTAATGACTCATGCCAAACAAGAATGTATAAGGGCATCATGTAGTGTGTTAACATGCATGTTAATGCACGTTAAGACCCACTGCATGCATACATACTCACCCTTTAACAGTTTGGAAATCAATGCTTTATACTGTATTATGTGTCTCTTCTCTCTGTGTAAGTCGTCTAACAGCGTGCGGCCCAACCTAGAGGAGGGAATCACCCTGTTTTCCACTCTTCTCAACAACAAACACTTCCTGGTCACCTTTGTTCACGCTCTCGAGCAGCAGAAAGACTTTGCCGTAAGAGACAGGTGAGTACAGACAAACACAAACGAGAACAATAACAGGATCCAAGCACAGCCCAATGCTCCTGTGACAGTCTGACAGCACAGCCGCTCTACAGACTACTGTTTAGTCTCGTACCCAGAAACCAATGCAGAGATCTTAAGAACATATAATGCAACATCAAGAAAGTTTATATCCTCTAAAGAAACTGTCAGTACAAGAACAGAGCTGTCAAATGAGCCCAGGGCCTCGTTTCTAAAAAGCACCAGAGAATCCATGGCACGAGTCGTTGTGATTTTGTGATGTGTTCCATCATAACTGAAGCAAGGCTTGACAGTGGACCTGGATTTGTGAGAGTAATGACCGTGCACTAACAGACTTATGCATTCACCATATTATACTTGCATTTCATTTAACACAGTTAATCTTGTGGTAGTTTAATGATTTATTAAAACAATAATACATAAAATGGATAAATTCAAGAATAAATGAAAAAAATTGTAAGTAAAACAGATGCTGTTTGCAATAAGGGAGGCACAGTTTGAGTGCAGCTTGTTCTGCACAAAACTGTTTAATAAGCAGCTCATTAGGTTGAGAATTTAAGAAAATCTCAGTCGACGTTTCACAGCGTCAGTTGCAAGTGTTTAAAAGTGCAAATTGAATACAGTTATAGTAAAGGCCGACACTCTACATGGTTACAGCTCAGCGTTTGCCATCTCGTAAGTAGCACTTCAAGCACATCCTTATGCGTTCATGTGTGTGCAGCTTCAGGAATTGCACTAAAATAACAAAATATTGCTCTTAGAAAATGCTCTGAACGGCTAGAATACGATCAATCGCTATTGGGAAACCAGGCGCAGATGATTTGGTTCTGGCTGAGATGTTGGAGTTCTTTTAATTTTTCTTTGACTTGGCAGTAGTTACGACGTGCGTTGCAGTAATTGATCAGCACTTTCGCTGTGCCTTCTAGGGCCCATGTTGTCACACGTGTCTGATTAGCTGCAGTGTTGGTGTCCAGTGAGGGAGCGCTTCCTCTGTGTGGAGTTATTCACCGACTCTATCCACACCGCCCTCAGTGTGAATGTTCTCAATTACTGATGTGTTCGCATTCTTTCATTGACGTTTAGGTGCAGTCTTGCCTCTCTGCTCACGATTGCCCTCCATGGTAAACTGGAGTACTACACCAGCATCATGAAGGAGTTGCTAGTGGATTTGATCGACGCTTCAGCCTCCAAAAACCCCAAACTGATGCTCCGGCGGACTGAGTCAGTGGTGGAGAAGATGCTCACCAACTGGATGTCCATCTGCATGTACAGCTACCTTAAGGTTTGTGAAGAGTTCAGCAGCTGATTTTACTCTTTGGCTTCAGTTCATCGACTGTATGAGTGCGTCCGTTTCTCTCTCACCCTCAGGAGACGGTCGGCGAGCCGTTCTTCCTGCTGCTGTGCGCCATCAAGCAGCAGATCAACAAGGGCTCGATCGACGCCATCACGGGGAAGGCGCGCTACACGCTCAACGAGGAGTGGCTTCTTCGAGAAAACATCGAAGCCAAACCGCAGGTGAGCTCCAACACACACCACTGACCTTTCTTTCCACCGGTGAAATCACACTGTTTGGACTCTCATCTCCTCCGTCTACCTTCCAGAACATCAACGTCTCCTTCCAAGGCTTCGGTATGGACTCAGTGAGTGTACGTGTGATGAACACGGACACCATCTGTCAAGTGAAGGACAAAATACTAGAGGCCTTTTACAAGAACCTGCCCTTTTCTCAGTGGCCTCGAGAAGAGGATGTTGATCTGGGTAAAGAATCTCTGAGCATGGTGAAATCAAGTTGTTTAGAGCAGACAGACTTGTTAAGCTTTGCATCAGAATAATCAGAACAGGGTAGATATCACAAACTGAATTAACAAGCGAGATATGAGGATGAAAAGTAAAATTTTTATTTGTGACATGTGGCTGCTTTCATACAGATCATGCTCTTCTGTGTTGTGTGAGATGTTGAGAAATTTGACTGAATTTGACCCAGAAGATCATTTGACTATTCAAATATGGGACCAGTCCTAACAGACCTTCCATTAATCATTAAATGTGTCAATAAAACAATAAAACTGAAAAGGAGTCACTACTCCTAATTTGTCTTTTTACTTTAATAATTATTTTATAATTAGCTTTCCTAATTGAAAAACAATTAAAAGCCATTTGCCATTGTTTTTACTGAAGTTTATTTTATTTTAAAGCTGCAGCCCATAACTTTTTTGTTGTTGTTGTTGTTAAAAATGATCCAAAATCAATATTTGAGCAAGTACATAACCGGCCAGTGTTCAGAACTATTTCCGGTAAGCTTGTTTTCTAATTTGAGTGGTACTGGTAGGTTCCCCTTCAGGAACTCGAGCTGCATCGAAACGCTACGGGAACGCCTCCAGCGTGACCACGCTCTGAGTCACATGTGTAATCAGTCCAGTGGATGGGCGAGATGTCACGGGCAAGTATAAAAGCACGTGCGGTGAAACCGGCATCAGCTTTCTGTCATTCAGCAAGCGCTCTGTGTGTGTCAGTCTTATTTGGTGTTGTCTGTCCATTATCATTCTTTATTTTACCAATACGAGTGTAGACAAACATACGGCGAGAGCCGGCAGCATCTCAGGCTGTGTGTTCTTCCCTGCCCGCGCTACATTTCGGGTGGGAGCAAAACACGCAGAGTCAGCTGACTGTCCGCATTGTGAGCGTTTGTCACTGTGTATGCTTGCTCTCGGGGGGCTCTCTTTGAGGAGGGAGTCTTCACCGGCGTTTCTCGCGCCGCCGGCCCCGCTTTCGCTGAGGCAGAGTGGCGGCTGTGCTTGTGGGTTTCGCATATGGATCCGGTGGAGGGAATGTAGACGGGCGCGTCCCTATCTTCTTCCTTAACCACCAGATCCAGCGCCCGCTCTCGGGGTTCTGAAGCCCGCGCTGCGGTTCTTTCCCCCCTGTGAGAGGGCTCGACGCTCCGCCTGTCTTCCTCCGAGGAGGTTGATAAGGGCGTCTTTGAGATCGCCAGTTGCACAAGCATCAGTTACACAAGCATATTATGCCTAATATTATAATGAGCAACTTTACTGTGGAGCGGAGCTGTTTTACAGTCGCACATGCATTATGTCAATACTATTATCAAAAGAAAAAGACTCGCGCAGTCAGCTCTCGGAAATAAGGGGCTGATTGTGCTTCTCCCGCTGAACGTTCTGCTCCCGCCAGGGCACGCTCCGAGGAGTGTGTCCATGCTTGCGAGCTCGCAGTTCGGTCCCGCTATTGCTGAGACACGGATCGCGGGGATCGCACGTGGATCTAGCGGATGGGTTGGAGACAGCTCGCCCTTTCTCTGCCTGCACTCCCTAGATCCAGCGCTCTCTCTCGAGGCTCAGAAGCCCGCGCTGCGGTTTCTTCCCCCTCTGAGCGAGAGCTTGCTGCTGCGGCTATTTTTCTCAGAGGAGATTGATATTGTTTGTGTGACCAAGTGGCTCGCGCACTGCCGTGGCAACGCGTGTATTACATAATTTTCAGTTTTTGATGTGAATCTTACCACACCAGATCGTGTTTGGCTGCATTTAATTCTGAGGAATTAAATTAAGTATTTATCTGACTATGAGAAGTTAGATATATCATTTTCGATTTTTTAAATGAATCTTATCACACAGACCATGTTTACTCGTCTGGTTGTTTGGCTGCATTTAATTCTGAGGAATTAAATTAAGTATTTATCTGACTATGAGAAGTTAGATATATCATTTTCGATTTTTTAAATGAATCTTATCACACAGACCATGTTTACTCGTCTGGTTGTTTGGCTGCATTTAATTCTGAGGAATTAAATTAAGTATTTATCTGACTATGAGAAGTTAGATATATCATTTTCGATTTTTTAAATGAATCTTATCACACAGACCATGTTTACTCGTCTGGTTGTTTGGCTGCATTTAATTCTGAGGAATAAAAGGAAGTATTTATCGAACTATGAGAAGTTAGATACACAGGGGCTCTTGGGATAAAAATTTCTCGAGTAACAGCACGTGTTTACCTCTCTTTCTCTGAGGAAGTTGAGGCGGTCATCAGGGGCTGCTGGGCGGGAGGTCTCTAGAGCAGCTAGTACAGCCGTCCCTTGCTGGTTCGCCGCTTCAGGGCACTGAGCTAGCCGCTCTAAGTGCACCAGAGGCCAGTCTCATGAGACAGATTCCCTTAGTATGTCACCTGGCGGTGTGGGAGCCCCTGCCAAGCGTGCCTCCTTGGGTCCTGCCCTGAGCAGGCTCTGGTTCTATCAGTCGAGTCTTCCTAGCAGATGACGCGGGTCTGAGGACCGTAATTTTTAGAGAATACTTCAGCTATGAGGGTCCTGATTCTATGGCTCAGGACCTCGGAGGGCAGGCCCCTCTGGGGAAGAGCGGTACACACCGCATCACACGGTGCCCGTCTCTCCTCAGTGCCCTCAGGAGAATCAGTCTGCCAACCCTGCCGGTGTTCCAGGGTGCAGCGGTCTCCGGCAAGCGCTTCTCTCAGTAACCGCCCAGAAATGTAGCGGTGCTAAGAGGCTCGCGACCTCCACAGAGGTCTCTAGAGCAGCTAGTAGGGCCGTCCCCTGCCGGTTTGCCATTTCAGGGCACCCAGCTAGCTGCTCTGATTACACCAGAGGTCAGTCTCGAGAGACTGATTCCCTTAGTAGACTAATGAGTCTCGGT